AAAATGTAATGATATTCAGTCAACTACTAACTTGTATTAAATTTTGTTTTGTTTCAAGAAACTCATTTTTTTTTAAATAGAGCTTCGTGAATTTTTTTTCATCTGTAAAACAGAACTAAAGTTTTCGTATTTACTGTTTAGAATGTATTATTCGTGAATTATCGTGATTAGATAGGTTTTATTCCTTCTTTTCTATAACAAAATGGTTTTTTTCTTAAGGTGCGTGGACCGGCTTGACCTGGGCCGACGTTTAGCGTAGAGAGGTTGGGGTATGAGTTCTTAGATAGAAACCAGGCTCAAGCCCAGCACAAGTCCACTTTGACTAGTCAAAGCCAAAATAAACCCAGCCCAAGCCAAGTCTGACCTGCCCCACGCCCAAGTCTATTTGGAACAGATTTCCAGATTTTTTTGTCTTGAGCGATTCTAAATGTCTATCTGTTGGATACATGTGTTAACTATGCTTTAATCTTGGATTTATTTGAACATAAGTGGCGTGTGCTTATCTTCTCATCCAGAACTCAGCATTGGCATTAGTTTGGTCTCCTTTCAACAGAATCATTTAGACAGTTCTTTTGAGGGATGTTCATTATGCTAGTAATCCTTCAATACAACCAATATATAAGGTTTGAAAGTTTTATTGCAAAATCTAAGCTTCTTTTTACTATCTTTCTATTTAAGACACGATTGTTGGAGATTTCTGTTGCGAGACTCGTGAGTGGTTGTATCGTTCTCCCCTACTCTTGCCCATCAATCTTTCTTTCTGCTCTTCTGTTTTTCTGGCTAACTCGATGATTGCTTGCAGACTTGGTATCACATTTAGGTGCTTTTGGGTTTTTCTTTGTTGTTTTTCTTCAATTTTCTTTTTGTATGTTTTATTAGTTATAAATTTTATTTTATTTTTTTAATTTTTAATTCTTTTTATAAGTCTTCTTAATTTCATTCTGCAATTATTTATTTAATCTAATGAAAATATTAGGTGTGGCCTCAATTACACAAACAAAAGAAAAAAACAGGTAGCCTTTTTTGTCCAAAGTCAAGATACGGCTCCATCCATTTTAGATCCTTCCGAACGCCCGAAAGCTCTGGTCGTACGGATGTGGAGAGTGGAGACCATATTATTTAATTTTTCATATTTTATAAATTATATAAATTAAAAAATTTATAAATTATATAAAATAAAAATAAAATAAAAATGGGTGGCGGCAATCCACGTCATACGGGACCCGGTTCGTCCTCTCAGCATCCCTCAAGGCGTGGATCCAAGTCAGCACTTAAGATAATGCGTCAACTGGAGCATGTTTTTAATAAAATGTACTAAATATTATTAATTAATAAAATTAGTGGTGATTATGTGAGAGGAAGCTTGAAATTTTCAAAGTCGCTAACTGGTGTATTTTTAATTTACGACGATTTATTTAAAGTAATTGTTTAAGCGTCTGTTTGGAGCAGTTTGTGTGTTTCATATTAAGCAGCTTATCCTGAAATACAGTCAGCATGTATTTAGTATAAAAAAACTCAAACGCGGCGGACAGCGTTTTTAAAAACGCGTAAATCAAACGATTAGGCGGTGTTTTCAAAAACGCCGCCACACTTAAAAGCTGCCCCAAATGGGCCTCAAGGGGGAATATTTAAAATTGTTTTAAATAAAATATGACCACACAATTCTTAAATATTTATATATCTAACATCTAAATTTTCATATTTACAAATGCACCCTTTCATGTATGGATTTTTGATACCAAAGTGCTATGAATATACATATCTATTTTAAGTGTATGGTATGTAAATATATAGGAATTACGTGGGTTGTTTTGTAAGTTTTCCTAATTGAAATTGAATGTTTTTGAAAACTTGCTTTCGTTTGATCTATTTGTTTTATAATATTCTTCATCCATGTCATTGACTACAACTTGATGTTCTTAAATGGGTAGAATCCGAATCTTTATAAAAAATAAAAAGGTTGGCAATTGTTCTAGAAAAAAAAATGTTTGTCAATGAGATGATTTGCAATTTTATATTGTAACCACAAGCTCTTCTTTTTGATAGTTTTCTCACGCCTTACTTCTCTTGATTGCATTAAGAAGTGTCAAATTGGTCGAGAGGGCTTATAGAAGTGTCAAATTTATCATTTTAGTCTCAGAATTTATAGAAATGTCAAATTAGTCAAAAAAAATCCTATTTTGCCCCTATTTCAAAATTCTGGAGGTCAATCTAATACTTCTATAAACTCTTGTACTATAATTATCTCTTTTAATTAGACAAGAGACTATTTTGTCGCTTTGCTCTCTCTCTCTCTCTCCCTATATATATATATATATAATAAAAGAGAATTTTTTAAGAATCTAATATTTTAAATCAACAAATAAAAATATATATATAATTTATTAACCACAAAGAAGTGAAAGGTTATGATTAATTTTGATAAAAGTGAAATTATATCATGACTGAAGCATAAAATATAGATAAAAAAATATGTTAATTCATGTAGTCATATTCTTTAAAAAGATAAATTTAAATTCTCAAGATGTGATTTTGATGAATACTTAGATGTTTGACATAAGAACAAATTACAATTTTTTTTATAATTCAAATCTCTTGAATTATATTTAAATAGTTTTGAATTTCGAAGTGTATAAATATGAAAGGTAAAATGGTTACTAAGGGTCTATTTGAAGCAGCTGCAGCTTATTGAATAATCTGCTGATAAGCTAGGTGCGGTGACTATTGAAAATTTTTATTTTTTTTAAAAAATTCAAATCGCTGCCTGAAAATTGCAAAATGACATATTATTTATAATAGTGGAATTATTAATTTCATGTGACTTTAAATTAGATGTAGGAGAAGTAATATTGCAAAATGGCATAAAATTTGTAAAATCTATTTTTTTTTTTTGAGTTTTTATTGTTTTTTTTTCCATTATTATTCCTTAATTTAATTCTTAATTTCTTATAACATGTTAACATTAGGTTTAGTACTAAGGAAGAGAAATAATAAGCAAGATAATGATAGAAAGAAAATAGAGATACCAATTAAAGAAGGGTCATTATTTGATCTGATAAAGCACTCTCATTTTACCCTAAAAAATTGAACTCAACAACTGAGTATTTTTAATTTCTTTTTAAATTATGTAAATTTGAATCTAAATTTCTTATATATTTTAACAAATATCATGCTTGTTGATATTATTCTACATTTCTTTTTGCATGCTAAATATAATGAATGATATTTTTCTATATTGTTGAAATTCTTCATTTTATTTATGTGCTATTTGCATTCGAGCATTAATAAATATGGATATCTACATACATAGCACTCAAAACTTTTATTATTATATATTCTTTCACGTCAAAAGTTTCATATTTTTGTTCATAGCACTCCCTCGAGTAGTTAGTCGAATCTCGCTCAATCACTAGAGGTTACTTTTCCGAAGAACAAGCACGAGAAGTTAGGTGGGAGGAAGTGAGAGAAAGATGAGACGAGGGTTATCTCCCTCAATGGTTTTCAGTAAGAATGAGGTGGAAGGAGGAGAAAAATGAGAGTTTCCAAGGTTTTTGTATGTCACGTTCCCATCACTATTGTCTTCCCAGCTATTCTGACAGCTACCACACATGTTATATATTGGTGTCAACAAGACCACAAATTGTTAACCAGATTATTTTTTTAACAAAGATGTGTTAATTTGTGTTTATTTTAATATTTTGTGAGGACATTAATATAAATAAGAGAGTTTATATGTCAAAATATATAATATTAAATGTTTTGAATGCTATCTATTTAAATTTTCCTTATAAAAGGAATACTTTCATTTTATATGGGATAAAGACATAAATTAGGAAAAAATGGAAAAAGTATTTTGGTGTTTAGTCTAAATTATAATTAAATTTCATTTCGACATCTACTAATATTAAAACTTCAAAGCAGAAATGAAGTTTGGTTCTATATGCATATTAAATACATACACACATTAAAATTGTAAATTGTTTTAAATTATTACAATTATGTGAAAATAATGATATATATATATGAAAGAGAAATTAAAAATGAATTTGCTTATTAATTAAGTTCATAGTGTATCAGATTCAAAATGTCACATATTCAATCGCCATAATTTTTTTTTCTCGTGTAGCTTTTCCCAATATCTCTTTGTCTAATAGCAAGCTACCTATTGGATTACAATGATTCATCCTTTTGCTCGATAACTTAACTTCTGTCTGCCGACAGAAGTTCTTCAACGAGAATCAAGGGTCGAAGGTCATTACGCCTACCGATTGGTAAGACTTAGCAAATTGTTTCTACCGCATCTTAACCAATAGATGACAAGCTGACCTTTGCGTAGTCTTCTGACAACATAAATCAAGTCGCTTGCTCCCCAACCATACATCCAACAGGACTTCAATAGCAATGTCAGCTAGCAACACCTATCGGACCCCGTTGATCGATAAAGCTCAATGAAGTCCTACCATGACCAATTGACCATGCCCAAGACTCGAGAGTAGCAAAACCCACAAGAGTGAATATTTAGAATAACCTGTACAATCCCCCCGCAAGTAGAGGAATAAATATAATTTCATCTACTACACCTTCTTTATCTACAAATAGGAGATTATTATTATTTTTTTTAATTTTTTTCTTTCTTATTTCTCATCCTTACCTTTATGTAGATGGTTATGAAAACCCATCATAAACTCTAGCAGGCAAGGAAAGATTGAAACCTTTCTAAATCAAATAAATAATTTATTATATTATCTTTAAATATATCATTTAATAAAAAAAAACTTTTTTTTTAGTAAAACATGTTTATAATTAACGTTTAATATTATTATTTTTAATACAACCCATGCTTTAGATTAAAAAAAATTACATAAAACATGGCTCAAAGCTACATTTTTGCTACATTATGCAAATAGTATGCATGTAAATCTTCCCTTTTTTAATTAATTTTACTCTTTAACATCAAAAAATATTTTTGATTATTTTTAAGCATGCCAAAAAAAATAAAAAAAATAAAAAGAGAAATCTCTTATTGTATTTACACAAAATAAAACTGTCATATTCCACATTACAGCCATACAATTTTAATATAACAAAACATAATGGTCATGACATGACAACTATGGTCAAAAAGTACAGAACTCAAAATACAAGAAACAGCGCAGACAAATTCAGGCTTCATGCAGAAGCCACAAAACAACAGATAATGCACACTTACGGTCCAAATACTTCAGCATTGCATACCGGGCAGGCCTGAATTAGAATATGTACGTAAATTTATACAGAATTTTTTATGAAAACATAAATAAAGCCAAAATTTAAAGCAGACAAACTATGTAAAATAGAAAGAACGAAGGGCTGCAGATGTTCATTTGGAGAGCAAGGTGGTCATTTTGATGCAAGAATGGGAGAAAAGCATATTATATTACCTTCTTGATCTTTAACCACTTAGTAATGCAATCTTTATGGTATTGATGCTGGCAGGGCAAGTTGATCAACTTATCTCTGTTCTTGTAAGCCATAGAACAAATCAAACATCTGCGCCCGACATTAAAAAGATTATCACTAACAGTAAAAACCAGACTTGTCCAAAACTACATCTCTTACAATGAAAAATTTTCAAGATTTGGATAAAATTATAGGGGGAGCATGAGATAATCTTCACAAAACTGAAAAACAACGGCCATCTTAATTATTAAATAGTGGGATGAACAAATTGAAGTATCATGCAATATGGGGCAGTGTTGACCTCAATTTTCGTGAGGTCTAGTTTTTCTCGTAGGAGTTAGGATCTAGCCTCAGGGGTCCTCCAGCGACTATCTTAGAACCTTAGAAGTGGTGCCCGCCTCGTTTTAGTTCGACCCGTTTCCGTCCTCTTTTGTAGTTTCGCGTGTGTGGTATCGACTTCTAACGCTTAGAAGGATGAAACCGACATGAGGAAACCCAAAATGGATTCCTATAGGACCTTTCCGAGCCTTAGGGTGGCCTTCTGCACAATTCACACTCCTGCGCGCACCAGCTTCGCGATTCGGAGAGTCGACGCGTCCGATTGCTGCAATTCGCATTGACTGCACCGTTATTTGTCGGGGACTCGAGTAAACCACTTGTGACGATCGATCGCGGGTCAATATTTGGTGAAGTTTGAATTTTGACGCGTTTTGACCCGATTGTCGACGACGCCGTCCGAGCGACCCCGGATGAC